GCACCCCCCATCTTTTGGCCTCAGCCAGTTCACACATGTGCCTGCCTTCCTCCCCCACCTCCCCCCAAAGAAGGGTGAACATGGGTTCTGCTCACTCACAATCCAATCTACATAGCTTAGAGAAACCTGCATAGATTGGTTTGATTCTGCCTCAGGCTTTTTGAATGTTTGTATATAGCCTGAGGAATTAAATTATCTGACCCTGATAAACCAGCCATTTTAGGGTAAATCATATGCAGCATTCTCAGTTAATAGAACTTGAACTCTTCCAGGAACATGGTTAAAAAACTGTTAACTTATCCCAAGATTAACATGATTTGCTGAGGACAGGTCTGTAGAGCACTGTATGGTGCTGAACAACTTAATCTGTAGACACTAAAATGATGTAGTGTAGACCACCCTGCTTCTGCATTTATATTTTTGCTGTTGCTGTTATCATTCTTTGCTAGTTGTCTGATTATTCTTTTCCCCCTATTGGAAGGAGATAACAGGTTGCCTGTGGTTATGATGAACTATGTATCACTACAAGATAGACTTTTGGAATTGACTAGACTTTCCAAAGTTTACTTATCTGCAACTTCGGTATTCCCCTAACTTTTTTGTCCTTTTAGAGATTGTTATATATTTAACTAGCATAACACAGTTTTAGTGTTCCTATATTATGCAGGGGGCATCAAAACACTGAGGCATGCCCATTCAGGGTCAGGGAAAGCTGTTTATCCTTCTTAAATGTTATAGATCATTCATTCTCCTGCTACTGGAAAGGATGGTCCATCTGCACTTTGGGCCCTAAGCCAAGTCTCTGCATCTTAGCAGAAGACACAGCTGTTTTATGGCATGAGAGCAATAAAATCAATCATTCATAACATGATCAAGTGTGTAACTTGAATATTTACTCTGAATGATCTCTTCTAGTCCAATCATTAAAAGCCTTCTCAGGTTTTTTTTTTCTCTTCTTATTGGAAGAATTTGCATATTCAGGATACAAAGCTTTCAGAAGAAGGAAATAGAATTGCTCTGACTCTTAGGTAAAAAAAATAGGGGGACGTCTAGTAACCAAGCACAACAAAAAGTAAGAGTAGTCAATATTGAAAGCTAATTTCATTAACTCTTTATATCCTTCAAAAATATTCAGAGAACATATATTTTTTTCTGACAAAAAAGATAAGGATAGCAAAACAATTTCGCTAGATCAGTAGCATAATGTGTCATGGGTAAGCAGGGCACTAGTCCCAGGCACCAGTTCAGAGGGGCTACCACAATGGCAGCCCCCAGGGTGCCCACACTGCTGCTGCCACAACAGCCCGGGTTGATGAAGCTTGCGCTGAGACATCAGTATATCACGCTGCACCCACAATTACAGCAGCCCCTCTGTCAGGAGGTAAGCACTTGCTCCTTAGTCCCCCAACTTGCGAAGGGTGCCAAAAATTAAAGTTTTGTGTCTGTTCCAGATATTTATTTGTATTTATTCTTGGTTCTCCCACCATACATATCCATTACTCATTCTTTCCAATATGCACTTATCAGCAGGTATCCCATAGCTGACTGGTAAGTAGACAGCTGCAGAGCTTCAAAGCAGTACAGGATATTTGCATACCCCTTCCATTAAATCTAACAGCAGTAGAAGATGTGCAGCTAATTCTTGTGTCTTGTACATATCCTCCTCACCTCAGAACAGAAGTAACTGCATATGGAAATCATCCGGTCTAAACACAGCATATCTTCATTAGCAACTTTTTCTTTCTTGCCTATATAAATATAAAAAAAGACCTGAAAACCTTGGAAGAATGTGTTTTTCACTCATAGAAAAATAACATCTACTTACGCAGTGTTTTTCTTAATCAGAAGATAAAAGAAATTTTAAAGGGAAGACAGAATAGTTAAACAGGCACCAGTAATGAAGTGATTTGCCTGATGTCATCAGTAGGCAAGAGGCAAAGCCAAGCAGAGAAGCTGGTTCTCCTAAACCCTAGTTTGCTGCTCTACCTATTTAGCCATTATATTCTAATGCACAAGACATAGGGCCACCCACTGTTACTGAGTCTTTTGTCTGCTCTTCAGTATTGCATCTCATGCCTTGATCCCGCCTCCTGATGCTTTGGCATACCTATACATTGAAACCAGACAAAGACAGAACTTGTAACAGCTGGAAACTTGCTTAAGCTGAAAATTTTCTGTGCTCCCAGCTTGAAGGCTGCCTTGTCCCTGCTGCAGCTGGACTAGAAACTTCTTTTAAAATGCAGCTTAATTTGGCTAGAAAAGCTAAAGAGCACATTCCCAGATACCTGGGATACAATGATCATATTCTGCTTTTTTTCCAGTCTCCCTCATATATATTTGCACCACTATTTGTCATGTCTTATAAAGCAGTGGTTTTCAATCTTTTTTTGTACCAGGACCCATTTGTAAACATAGATGGCCGGTCCCAACCCAATAAATAGTTAAAATAGAAAACAACCCGCTGGCTTTGCTGGTGCTCCTCATTCCCAACCTGCTGCCCCCTGCCCGCAGGCCCCAGCCCCCCAGTGTGTGGCAGGGGTGAATGTATGGGGTAAGGGGGTGTGGAGCATGGGGGGACATGGGCATCCACAGTAGGCATGGGGATGCAGCTTAGCTGGACCAGCATGGGCAGGATCTGCCTCCATGGTCTAGTGGGCGGGACACGGTGCAGGAAGGTAAAATGGGACAGTGAAATTAATTGCTGTTGGAACCCCCACACCAGCCAGGCCTCCAGCAGCACAAGGTGTAACCAAGGCAGGGGGATCTGACGCATCATCTATGCCCCTTCTGTGCCCCCACCACCCTGCCCCATAGACTTGCCTGCAGGGAGCTGTGGGAGCTGATCTTCATACTGCCTGGCTGCCACATGCATGTGTGTATGCATACATGCATGTGGCACCCCATGCCTTATCTCTCTCCTACCACTTCCCACAGCCCCTTGCAGACTGGAACTCTGCCAGCCTGTAAGGGGAACCAACCGTTTCCCATATTTTTCTCCTTTCAAGGAGAATACATTTTTAAAGATTGTTGATCTATTTTTTAAAGTTTGTTCACAACCCTTTCATATATTCTTGTGATCTACTTTTGGGTTGTAATGCATGGGTTGAGAAATGCTGCTATAAAGCAAATGGTTAGCTGACATTCCCCTCAAGCTAGTGATTTGATTTTTTTTTCTTTTTTTTTAAAGCAGCCCTTTATAAAATTGTTGCCATCATGATCTGATTTAGCTTCCTTCACTACTGTCATCACTCTGATCAGCTTCCAGTGATGAAGGAAACAAATGCTTAATATTTCTTGTGTATAACCCACTCTCTTAGATTTTTTGCAGAGAATATTCATCAGTATAGGGTTTTTCAACTCAAACTGCACTTTAAGCTGCCTAAAAGCAAAGTGAACTTTACATTTGGCACAAAAAGCAGGAAGATTAAATGCGAGTCTTTGGCCTCGTACAGACAGTTTCTCCTGGGAGAGTCGTTGCTCTCCCAGGAGAAACCATAAGTGTACAGATGTTCAGGCTTTTTCTCCCAGGGTAAAAATGGCTGCTTCAGAATAAAAATTATCTGGGAACAACCAGGGTTAGTTTCTTCTGGGAGAGTAAATGTCTGTATATGCCATGGCTTCTTTCAGAAGAGAACATCATCCTCTAGCATCCCTCTCTCCCACCCTCATCACCCCACCCTGGGAGACAGTGTGTCACTTGCTGGACTCTGCTGCTCCAGCAGAGAACAGAACACACCACTTTCACAATCCCTACATTGTGCTGCAGGGAAACACAGGCTGACTATGAGCAGTCTGGGTCAGTGAATCAGGGCTGAACTAGGCACTGTTGCTGCCTGTTTCCAGGCAGACTAAGGAAGCCTGAAGAGTTTGCTAAGATGTGTGCACAGCTTTGTTCCTACAAGAGCAAGTTCCATAGTCTTAGACCTGCCCCCGTGAAGCCTCAGTATCCTGCCCAAGCAGACAGTTTTTGCAGTAGATCATTCCATTGTACCAGCTGTCTAAGTCTCAGTCTGAATCAATTCTTTGAGTCTACTTGGCCAAATCACTGGCATCTGAACATTAAGTACTAGCGTTTAAACATCAGGTGTCATTCTGCGGGAAACCAGCAAAGCAAATCCGGTATTGGGCTCGTGCATTCAGAGTAAGAGGAGACAAGCTGCTGCATTCTGTATCACTTGGAGTTTTTTGATGGCTCTCTCACAAGGCTCAGCATAGACTGCTTAGTATTCCCATGGTTCCAATGGTAATTAACTAGAGAATGTACTAGTGCATGAAGGCCAGCTTTTACCAGTGCAGGACACAGTCTCCTAGATTCTTGGAGGAGAATAAGTATATTATAAGTACATTACCATGTCAGCACTTGCAAGAAGTCCAGACATACCCCTGAACTTCTTGGGTGTGATTATGCTTCTCTGTCCAGTGAAGACTATATCAGGGCTGTCAGTTTTTGTGAACTTTTTTTTTTTCCAGTTGTCTTGCTGTACTTTAACATCCACTGACTCCATCTTATACATGTACAGATCCTAGGCACTGGATAACTTAAATATCAGTGGCATTATTATTATTATGTGAAGAAAATTGTCATATGTATACTGACATGAAAATCCATGAAGTATGGTGATTTCACCTATTAACAGTAGGTAACTAGTGAATATATTTGCATTAAGCCCAGTGAAACTTTGCAAAGCAGATGTCTGAGAAATAATCTTCCCATTACTGCTCACGAGGTGAGAGATTCAAATCAATTAAATGCATGAACCCTAGTCATGAATATTATGGGGCACAACAATACAAGGAGGTTATATAATAAAGTAAACTGACTGGCTCACACTCTAGTGCATTTAGAATCTGTGGGTTACATTAGCCTGCTAATACACAAATAAAAATACCATTGCTGCTAAACTTCATATATGAAAGCTACTATTGCTAGCTTTAATTAGAATTGTTTTGAATATGGTGCTTATCAGGTAAATATTCTTTTTCTCTTTTTTTTAATGCAGACTTGGATTATCACTTGCTTTTATCTTCAGCTGCTCCTACTTAATCCACTTGTCAGAGCTCATAGTCCCTGTGGGAATCCAGTGACAGATGATGTGAATGACATTACAATATTGGTAAGTGGCTTTTCTTTTAATTTCTTCTTTAAATATTAAGCAATGGTAAGTATCTAAAGAAACCATGATATTAAGGAAATGAAAGTAAATAAACATTTTGATTAGAGCTAATTGGTTTCCCATCCAACTTTAAGTTTTATACTTCTTGGGTGCTTGTACATGCCACGGCATTTAATCCTCATTAATTTAACAAACTTTAAAAATGTTAAACTTGGTTATTTTGGTGCATTGGGTTTGTTTGCATACTATGAGCTTTTGAATGAAGGACTGTGTGCAATTCCCTGAAAATTCCAGCAGGGGGAGCCAAATACCAATCTACCCCCTTTCCTAATGCATTACAGCCAGAAACATGTTCACGAGTAAACCGACCTCCATAGTCCCTCCCCTCACCAGGAGCCTCATGCTAAGCTTCCCTCCCCGCACTTGCACCCACCTAGGCTCGGTCCAGTCTCCAGTAGGCAATTCTGTGGTGATCCCTATGCCAAGCTGCAAGCCGAGTGTATCATCCCCTCCTCTCCCTTTCCCATCCCCCTATGGGTCTTTGGTTTAAATGGGAACTGGATTGGTCATTGAAAGTTACTAGACTTTGCTGGAATAAATTATTCACAATTTCTGAAGAAAACTTGTCCATAAAAGGCACTTTACATAAGATGTATTTGTGTCTTAGCAGACAGTTTAGTAATGATCAAATAGATCTTTTTCACTCCCAGATATGATCCTGGTCACAAGGGAGGTATAACTAAAGAGTAGCAGCCATGAGGAATAATGTTTACTACCTTTGTGAATCTATCTTCTGGTTAGGCAGGACTTCATTCTCAAAGGCTGCCATTTTATTAGAAATTAATTACATTAAACATGAAAATAACCTATATTTTAATTATTATTCACAAATTCAATATTTAGCTAAGGATATATAGAGGGCAGAATTCTGTTTCCCTTTGTAGATCTACAGGACAGTTTTCAATCATCATAAGTGGCCTTTTGGCCCTTATATACAGCTTGTATTTCTGTTTGTTTTGCAATGTGGACACACAAACATCAGTGCATAGACCGAGTATGCACAGTTGGCTGTGTACTTGCTGGTGCAGGTCCAGAGCTATGTCCACAGGCCCATTCTGGACATGTATGTTATGAAAATGTAGCTAGGCTGAAACCCATGATTTAATCGGGGTTAGATACTAGAGTAAAAGGAGGGCAGCTCTCCTTTCTTTTTAGCTCCAACAGCAAAGGGGCTATGCCACTTGCCCACTATCCCCCTGTCTGAGGGGTTTGAACATGCATCTCTGACTTCCCAGTCCAGTCCTCTGTCAGTCCTACTGCCAGACTGTCAACACTGCCCTTCCTTCCTTGCCTATAGAGTTGAGGAAGAAAGACAGTCTGTGGGATTCTGCAGGATCTATGGATCTTCTGTCCCTGTGCACATATAACAAGAACTGAAATGATTCAAAATAGTACCTCATTTCAAGCAGTATTATTTTGAAGCCTTCAGCTGCTTTTTGGAATATTTCAAAGGACATGTATGTTTGTACAGCTGGCTCTTGGAAACATTTCAAAGGTATTTAAAACAATTTAGTTGTTACTTCTGTTCACACCCAAAGGCAGTGTCAGAAACATCAGATTAGACTCCAGTGTCACATTAATTTCACTTTGTGCCTGATTAATATAAAAATGTCCAAAGAAAAAAAAATTAGGTCATCTGTGATGTGCTGACACCAAGTGTATTCCTTTATTTTCTTTCCTATAATCCTTTATAACTGTCCCCTTCAACCTAATTCCAAATTATTGACGTGTTGATTCAGGATAATAGTTCATCTGTTCAGAGAACATTCTGCTTTGTTTTCACAATTTTGTAAGAGTGACTTTAAACAACAGAACTGATTATGGGGGGTAGGCACAATAAGAGATTATTTGGATGACAGCCAACACCAGTTTTTATGAATTGTCATGTATTTTCAGATGGAGCAAATGTTTTTTGTCTTGAAGTATAATAATATGTGGCTTAAAATTGATAAAAGTGTACATGATTATGTGAATGTGCAGTGGAATATACATTCTGCTTTTCCTGCTAGTACTCATCTTAAAAGGAAATTTTAAGATTAAAAAAAAATCAGCCTGCTTTTTTTAAAATGTAAATCTGTTACAGATAATGCCTTAAGGCTATATCCTAGAGATATATGGATAGGGTGCCTGTGTCTAAGAAATGGGTTGTTGCTGGTGCCTAAACAACAGATGGAATTTAACCCTAGATATTATTATAGAGAAACATTTCTTCCCCCTATTCTCGGTTTCTCCAGTTTGCTTAACTGTACATAGTCTGAAACATTTTCAGTTTCATTATGTCATCTGGACATTTAGATGTCTGTAATTATCTATGTGCGGGCTGGGAGCAGTCCGAGGCCCTTTTTTCGCGCGGCGGGCTGTGGCCAGCAGCCCGGACACGCCGGGTCGGGGAAGGCAGGCGACATGCTAGAATTAGGCATGGACGCTTAGCAGTTGATTTAAGATTATTTTACTTACACCGAAGATGGTCGCAGTGCAGGCAGGAAAACTTGCTTGAGTTGCAGTTACAGGCAGAAAAGAAGAGAGGCAGACTAGAGTTCCTTCCCGTGAACCTTCTAGCCCATCCGGTTGAAAGCTCTAAACCGCGAGCCCGTCGTGTCAACCGAAGAAAGTAACTCAAAGCAAAGAGCTCTGAATACACTCACACGAAGTTTGCTAGGCTCCGTGGAACTTGCACGCAGGGAAGGGTACGTCGAGGGATCAGGCGGCGACGGGGAGAGGCAAGAGGCTGATCAGACCCCTATAGCCTTCTTGAGGTACACGCTGGGTCCGATAGGCTCCGCAGCGCTTAGAGATCTTCACGAGACGTGAAGTTCTCTTCCTCCTGATAGTCGTGGAGTCCTCCAACTTGGGCGGAAACCGCTCAAGCCTCTTATACGGCTAGCAGGCCAATCACTAGCTGCCACGTAGGAATAATTTAGAACTGGCCAATAGTGGGACACAAATCCGCATACGAATGGCGGGGACTCCTTACACCGTGCATTTCTCTTTTTGCAACTAAGAAATGCACCCTGCAAAGAAAGCTACGAGTGGCAGGAAATAATTTAGCAGTGCCGAAGTGCACACAAACAAAAATCACACCCTTGGGTTGTGACAATCTACACAAGTCTAAAGGTTACAAAAATTGGTAGCAGGACATAAAGATTGGTATAGCCCTTCCTCCTTAGATTACACAGTGGTTGTGCACTTCTAAAGATATTACACCATTGAGAGCTGCACACTGTTGCTATACTGAGGCTATGTGCTTGCATAACAATAGTTTAGAGCTCAAGTACCACTAGCCTTACAGTAGTAGTATAGTGTTGTGTTAGAATAATCAGACATGAGGGCAAAGTTATTCACATTTGTGCACTGATTGTTCAAATTACTGTATTAATAAAGTACAGTATTTAATGGAAAATTCTTAAACTCTACTGATTCCATTCAGTTGTGAAGTTACTTGTTCAGTGCATTATGGATGACATCTTAGCTCCATTAAAGTTAATAACTGGGGGTTTGCCACTGAATTCAATGGGTTAAGAATTTTAAATGTTATTTACCTTCCCTCCAGAAAAGTCTGAAAGACTTGATTCAGGAGAGTCAGTGATTCCATTTTGAGAGTGGCTCAGAGGTGGAGTGATAGCAGTTCTTTTGGAAACCTGAGCTTTTTAATGATTTGTTGAATTTCTTTTATAGTTATTAAAATTGTATGATAAAGAGATAGTGTATCATTAAAGCATACAAATGTAAGTACTTCAAAGAATTATTGATTGGCTTTCAGTTCAGGCACAATTACAAGCTATTCATCTTGTACTTACTATAAATATTTGGCAATGTTTCTGTAGTTTGAAGCAAAATTATATTAATTGAAATGAGAAATCCCTTTGATTAGTTGCAAGAGGAAACAGACTTACAAGAATTATAATTGGATAGAAAACTAGCCTAAATGATCAGATATGATGATTTGGATTCTCTGCTGGTCCAAAGGAACCTGTTAGAAAGTGCTAGGTTATCTATTGGAACTTTTTCCTTTCCCTCAAAAACAAATTGTAGTATCCAGGATGACACAGAAGATAATACTACATGTATAAGTGTATCCATTTTGCTCATAGTTCATCTACTGTTAGTGTACAATGGCTAAATACTATCCTTAATCCCACTTGACTAGGAGTTTCATTTAATTTTGCACCTCAAGAATCTGTCCTTAGGCTCCTCATAGCATCCATCTCTATTTTGGCTCCAGGTTCTTATATCCACAATCACAACTTTGACTCAGTTTCCCTTTATGTTGATAACTTACCAGTAGATATGTGATTTCTCTCTCATCATCTGGTCTACTGTGCTGGCCTGTATTTTTCACATTGTCATTCTGAAAGTCCAGACAACAGTTGAGCAAGGCCAAAACTGAGCTCTTGATCAGTCCTTCAGAACCTACCCTCTATCATTTTGGAGAACAACACCATTCTTCCAGTTCTGTGGACTCATAATCATTACGTCATCTTTGATTCTGGGCTAGATCCAATAAAGGCTTTAGGCACCTATGATGCACTTGGGTGTTGCCATGTCCCCACCCTGCCAAAGTAGATTCCAGAACCCAGAATTAGGCACCTAGGATTCCTATCTTGTTCAGTGCTTTGTAAGGTGATCCAAAAAGTCTTCCTACTGTGGGGTGAGTCGCCTAGAGTTGGTCAATAGAAAGCATTGACACAGAGCAGTATCTAAACTCCTGCTTCTTCTTTGGAACTTTGGCCAGGTACTACTATCCACTCAGAATCCAGAGCTTGACATCCTTAAAACAGGAGAGGTGGTCACAGCTCTTTCTTTTCTGATAGCAAGATCTAGGTATAATTCCTTCATCTTCCTGAGGGGATTCAAACCCATATGTTACACAAGCGTACTGTAATCACCAGACTATAGGCTAGGCCTGGCACTCTCTACCTTTCTGGCTGAAGCTTGTATCA